AGACATATACAAGAAATATCACAAAAGCAGTATTTGTAATAGGCAAACACAGTAAACCCAAATGTCCATCAATGATAGAACGGATTTCAGAGATTTGCTAAAAGGATTCACAGGACTCAGAAACTGTTATACTCACAGTTATAATTATAGCAAAAGGATATAGCTCAGAACTGCAAACTCACTATTCTTGCCTGAAGTTCAGTAGCTTAATAAATAAATGCTTCTCAGTTTGTTGTGTGCTTTTGAATCCCAGAGCACTGAAATGGTTGTTTTTGACTGTTTTGTCCAGCTTTATTAGGACAGAATTTGTTGACCTCCTGTAATATCAAAAGTCAAAAGTCTGACAGTAATTTTTGAGGGAAAAAAAAAGATGAACTTTGCTTCCAAGACCTGTGAAACATTATGAAGTATGAGAGTCCCAAAAGAGAAGGAGAGAAAGGGGAGCAAAAATATTAAAAAATATAATGGCCAAAAACTTCCCAAATTTGATAAAAAATATTAATCTACAGACCCCCGGAAGCCAAACAAACCCCAAGTAAAAGTAACACAAAAAGGGAATTCCCTAGCAGTCCAGTGGTTAAGACTCAGCATTCATTGCCGAGGGGGCAAGTTCAATCCCTGGTCAGGGAACTAAGATCCCACAAACTGCGGGGCATGGCCAAAAAAAATGTAACACAGAAAGATCCACACCTAGACACATTATAGCATAGTCAAATTGTTGAAAGACAAAGAGAAAATCTCTAAAGCGGCAAGAAAAAGGAAATGAATTACCGCTTACATCAGGGACTGACAGACTTAGTCCATAAAGGAACATACAATACATAGTAAATATTTCAGGTAAGGTTGTCTGTGGTGCAACTACTCAACTCTGCCATTGTAGAACAAAAGCTGTCACATTCAATGGGCATTGTCATGGTCCAACAAAATTTTACATTTGAATTTCATATAATTTTCATGTGTCACCAAATACCTTCTTTTGATATTTTCCAACCTTTTAAAAATGTAAAAAACATTCTTAGTACACAGACCACATAAAAACACGCAGTAGGCCAGATTAGGCCTGTGGGCCATAGTTTGCAGACCCCCTGACATCAAGAGAACAATAATACTTATTAACAGCTGACTTCCTGTCAGATACAATGGATGCCAGACAATATAATGACATATTAAAATGCTGAAAAATCTATGAAAAAAACAGAATGCACACTAAATATTTTATATACCAAATTTTAAGCTGAAGAGACCCACCAACAGTTTCCTTGTATTTCCATGTCAACTCTTCTTATAACTGTATTAATTAGGTAAGTTGGAAATCAGCATTGTTTTTTTTAAGCATTCACAAGTTTATAGATATAAAAGCATGCTACAGATTACAACATACAACACACAAAAATAGGTCAGAAATAAATGCCAAACAAAGGTCACTGCGTCTAATTAATACTCATGATATAACGGTCAGCTTGGCAAAAGAAGGCAAAGATTTAACACACTGTCATCATATATTATGGATACCTTTAGTGAATGCTACTTATTTTAATAATTATATGACACACAAGATGGTAGGTTCTGGGTACTTTGGTCAAAACACCATTAGGAACCTGTCAAAACCATAAAAATGAGCCTGGAAAATCTTATGAATCCAGAAAGCAAACAGTGTCCATGTGACTATAGTTAGAACTTACTTCCTTTTCATGTGCAGAGCAAATCATGCCTCAAAGTGCCTGTGTATTATGCCCAAAATGCCTGACAAACAGCCCTATCCATTCCATCCACCTCAACTCCCAAGAGGAAACACTGATTAAAGCAAAGGAAGCAGAAGCGCTAGACTGTGGAGCAAATAAGGGGCTGATGAGATAGAATATATGTTTGTTAAATGAAAACATATTTTGAGAGTAAGTAAGAAGGGATAGGAAAACTGAATGCAGCAGGGAAGTGTTTAAAGAGAATTCTTTGGATTATTAGATCACCATACAGACAGAAGATGGTATAGTAAGGAATATTGAGTCCTTGAATCTCTATCAGGATTCCAGGAAGGTGAGCTTATAAAAGAAAATCTGCAAATTGCAAAACTAAAATTCTTCACTCACAAGAATATTAAGTATATCTTTATTGAAATAAGTGTTCTATTTAAATATACCTAAAGACTTTTAAATAAATTTAATCAGATTACTTTATTTATATTAAAATGAGATCAGGCCCTCTAAAAGGATGCACATTTTGAGTAGAGGGTAGAATGTCAGGCAGGGATGTAAGACAAGAGAAAGGTCATTTTTATGTACGAAGAACTAATAGTACTACTAGAAGGTTAAGGTCACTGTGTAAGGCCAACTTTGCGGTTTTGCTTCAGTGTATTAGGGGTGGAGACCTTTCTGATGGTGCTTAATTAGCAAACTAAAGTTGTAATCTATGACATGGCCACATGAGACAGGCAACAAATCTCAGAGAAAATGACTAAGAAGAAGAAATTGTTCTACACTACTTCAAACAGAGGGTCCTAATGAATGCTAGGATGCAGAGATAGTCAGATTGGACAATATATGAATATGTATGTACTGTTTTGTATTTCCAAATCCTCATCTCAAGACTGTATTTTCTTGCTTTGGAAACAGGACAGAGTGCTGCCCACTAGCTACAGCAAGGGGGGAAAAAAAGAGACCTTTCTTTTCAAAAGGAGGAGTGAACCAGTCCCCCCATGTCAAAAAAGAAAGAGAGTTAAACTGTGGTATAAAATCTGGGGGAGATAGGAAAGTAAAGGACATTTAGCTTAATTTAGCAACACCAAGAGCTTAGAGAAAGAGAATAAGCACATCTACTAACTCAACAACACTTCTTCTATGACACTGTAGAGTGACGCTAGTAACTCTGTATTCCTCACATAAATGTTCTTTTTAACCAAATATTTGCAAGAAGCAAAATTGCTCAGAAACTGCAAAGAGGCAGTAAGCAGCACTTAAGCTGGTTTCTAAGACTGCACTGCAGGGTCTAACAGGGACACAGTAACCCTAAGAAAATTATCTGCTTTGGGCAGTAAGAAGGAAGAAGGTGCATTAATTAGTCCATTAACTTATTAATTAAATTTAAAAGGGATCTGATAATCTGGTCTAGGGTCAAAAAGGCCCAAGGATTTTAACCATCTGGAAGGAGGTTTTAGAATTTCTCACATGGTATCAAAAACACTACAACATTCTTCATTTCAATTTGAATTCTTACCAAATGAAGAATGATTACAGAATTACTTCTACATTTAGCAATTATAGGCAACGGGTTGCATCAGAAAAATACTAGTTTGAAACTCTTAACTTTGTAAGCTAAAGAAACTGTGGGGAAAAATTCAGAGAACTAGGGCCAAAAATTAAAAATTAATTAAAAATTATTTTTATATGGGCTTCCCTGGTGGCGCAGTGGTTGAGAGTCCACCTGCCGATGCAGGGGACACGGGTTCGTGCCCCGGTCCGGGAAGATCCCACATGCTGCGGAGTGGCTGGGCCCGTGAGCCATGGCCGCTTAGCCTACGCGTCCGGAGCCTGTGCTCCGCAACGGGAGAGGCCACAACAGTGAGGCCCGCGTACCGGAAAAAAAAAAAAAAAAAGTATTATAACAGTTTATTAAAATGAGCAGCATGGTGTGTCTATATTTACACTAAAAATATGTCTTGGAGAAGCAATAACTTGACAACACATTATGTGTGTGCCCACAACACATACATTTGTTCAAAGAAAATACACGTTGAGCATCAACTGTGTTCCAGGCAGCCCTAGGCACTAGAGACTGTGATTCACACAGCACGTAGGATTTCATGAAACTTAAAATGGAGACCACTTATCCCCCATTAACTAATAACCAGTTACCTCCTGCAGTAAAGCATTATGAAGAAAAAGGAAATGCAATGAAAAAGAATAAAATAGAGGATAAAAACACAGGCAGTTTTTAAACCTGTTCCATCCAAAATGTAATTTTAACTGTGCCAAAAGAGTTAAAAACTTTAAAAAGGGTATAGCGAAGTCATATGTAAGGCTAATAGTCATCCTCTAAAGTTCTCTATTTTCTAAACCTAATTTGGGAACAAAGTTTATCTGAACCCAAAGGGATTCTCTGGTAAGGCAAAATGGTGATTGGGAAGGGTTAACCAAAGATTTTTTTTTTTTTTTTTTTTGCGGTACGCAGGTCTCTCACTGTTGTGGCCTCTCCTGTTGCGGAGCACAGGCTCCGGACGCGCAGACTCAGCGGCCATGGCTCACGGGCCCAGCCGCTCCATGGCATGTGGGATCTTCCCGGACCGGGGCACGAACCCGTGTCCCCTGCATCGGCAAGCGGACTCTCAACCACAGTGCCACCAGGGAAGCCCTAACCAACGATTTTTAAAAAACAATTTAAGTCAACTGAACTGTAAGGCCAATTAAAAAATATCTTTACTAAAACTAAGTGTTAAGTAGTTACTAGGCACCTAAAATCTGCACCCCAATCTTTTCTTCAGCATCTCCCTTCCCTCTAACCACACTATATATCAAACATCCAAGTTCTTACTAAGAAATTCAATGGCTTCTACAAAGAAATGGCTGTAGGTCAGCTATCAAAAACGGAAATCGGGGCATTCTTACATTCATCACTGTCATTGTTAAACGGTACTTACTAATCTCCTGTTACTATGTTCTTAAGTCAAAGGTCATTACACCCATACAAAGGAAGTTACAAACTTCAACAAAGCTTTGCAATAATTTCTTAAAGACTTCTTAAAGATTTTCCTAGATATACAGACTGTAGTTCATTCACAGCACTCCCAAGATTCTAGGAGTGGCCCTGCTACCCAGGAATATTTAATAAGCAGGTATTTAGTTGCAGGTGGTTCACAGTCTACACAGTGGAAACAACCGAATAGTAAACAGTCTTAAATTATTGTCAAGAGCTACTCTCAAATACATACCTAGACATATAGCTCTAGGGACATATGCTTAACAATGTCTCTGCTCTCATAAACAAGGACCTAGTTCAGCAATACTTACAGTTAACATTGGAGTTGTCAATAGGCCCCATGCAAAGAATTCAAGGAAGATGACAATAGCAGCATGGTGTACACTTGGTCGGCCAAAGCCTTGTAGCTAAAAAAGGAAGGAAATTATTATGAAAAATAGTAAACAGCTGTAAGAAACTCATTATCCTAAAATGGTATCTAACATACACACACACGCACAAACTGTATAAAATAAACTTAGGACCTACCTATATTATTTAAGATAAAACTTAATTCTGTGGTATCTCTGATTTCTTCATCTTCCCTAATCATGGAAGGTGCCATTGATGAGACTTTCTACTTGTCCCATCAATGCAAATCACTGGAACTTTGGTAGGAAATCAACTGCGTCTTCAAGAGACTGGAGTTCCAGGACCTGAATATTCTGTCTGAACACATTAATTATGTGTTCCTTAGCAATTTGGCCTCTCTAAGCCTGAAGTTTCCCTTGCTACACAAGAGTGGTAGGCAGGGGGTCATATGCTCAAAAGCTTCAGGGGCAGCATAGATGACGTAAAATTATAGGAGGTGGGGGAAGAACAATAAGGACTAGGTCAAATCTGAAAACACACTTTGATACCTCAAGGTGTCAAAATCCAGCTTTCTGTTTCTGTTTTGTTTGAAAACTGTGCCTATTCTGCTAGTTTTCTGCAGTTTATGACTTCTGGAGATAAAACCTAAAAGTCCACTCAATTTAATGTTCTTTGACTCTGTGCCAATGGTTTTTACAAAATCTAGTGCTGTACTAGCATTTTGTAATAACTGGAAGTGATACTTACAAAAGACTTTGCAAAATCCCCATTATTCCTAAGCTTATATTTTTAAGACTTCAAAAGGTAAAAGCACATCTGCATGGTTTAATTAGAATCTAATCATGAGGAAATGATCAAATTCAGATTGTGAGACATTCTACAAGACAACTGGCCTGGTCTCCTTAAAAATGTCAATGTCGGGGCTTCCCTGGTGGCGCAGTGGTTGAGAGTCTGCCTGCCGATGCAGGGGACATGGGTTCGTGCCCCGGTCCGGGAAGATCCCACATGTCGCGGAGTGGCTGGACCCATGAGCCATGGCCACTGAGCCTGCGCGTCCGGAGCCTGTGCTCCGCAAAGCGAGAGGCCACAACAGTGAGAGGCCCACGTACCACAAAAAAAAAAAAAAAGTCAATGTCATAAAAGACCAAAGTAAAGGTAGGAGACTTGTACAAATTAAAGGAAACAAGAGTCATAGAAAACAAATGGGGGATCCTGAACTGGATCCTGGATAAAAAGGAGACAAGAGGAAAAAATTTCAATATGTACTATATATTAGATAATCATTTGGCATTGAGACAGGAAGGGGGCAGGGCACAACCTTTAAAAGAATGACATGGCCTGAGGACACGATAAACTGGTTAGAACCAACTATGTTTAAGATGGCGCACAAGTTGACTTCCACTAGACCTTGAGCCTCAGTATATGCTCACTGTAACACATCAGCACACTAAATGACACACTCACAGGTGCCATAACAGTTCCAAGGCTGACCATAAAAGGTCAACAAGTGGGAAATGGCCCAATTCCTGGAAATCCCCATCCCTTCCCCAAAATAGCTGGAATACTCCTCCCACTCATTAGGCTATGAAATTACCTACCCCTATAAAAACTGACAACCCTGTACCCTGGTGCCTCTCTCACCTTCTGAGATGGCCCACACTCTGTATATGGAGTGTGTTTCTACCTGAATAAACTTTCTTTCACTTTACTATGGCTTGCTCTTGAATTCTTTCCTGTGCAAAGCCAAGAACCCACACTTGGTGGCTGTCCCAGGGACTCGCCTGAGATAGGAGGTGACCATCCTCTCACTCCCCGCTATCTTTCCTGCAACAGCCTTAATGTTACTGCAACTTGTTGTCAAATGATTTGGAAAAAAAAAAAAAAAAAAAAGGAACATATATACTTTCTAAAGCAAATGTCACAAAATTTAATTTTGTTAAATTGTTGAATTTAGATGAAGGGAATGGCTATTCATTTTACTATTCTTTTAATTTTTGTAGTTTTGAAAATTTTCAAAACGGGCCAAGATCAATTGTTATTAAAAATCCAAACTTGTAAATTTCTAGATTTTTGCAATGTCTAATAATAAGTAGTTTTAAATGTCACTAAATAAGACATTTGAAAAACAGAAAGCATTTTACAAAATTTAAAAGAAAAAGAAGCAATTAAGCGTCAAACAACTAAAAAAAAAGATCTTTAATATAACCCAGGCTTCAAACCATGTTTTGAAACAAGGAGGGAAGGGGGTAGAGCACAACCTTTAAAAGAATGACATAGCCTTGGATACAGCATAAACTAGTTAGAACCAACTAGGTCCAAGATGGTGGTAGATTCGACTTCCACTAGACCTTGAATCTCAGTATACACTCATTGTAATACATGAGCATGCTAAATGACATACCCACAGGCGCCATGACAGTTCCGAGGCCAATCACAAAATGCCAAAAAGTGGGTCGTGGCCCAATTCCTGGAAATCCCCATCACTTTCCTGAAATAGTTGGAATAATCCTCCCACTCGTTAGCCTATGAAATTACCCAGCCCTTAACAACTAACCACCCCATATTTCAGGGCCTCTTGCCTTCTTAGATGGCCCACACTCTGTCTGTGCAGTGTTTCTCCCTAGGCCGCTCTGACTTTCCGAGACAACTGCATTCTGTCTATGGAATGTGCTATCTCTCTAAATAAATCTACTTCTTACCTATCACTTTGTCTCTCACTGAATTCTTTCTGTGACAAGACATAAAGAACCTGAGCATCATTAAATCCTGAGACCAGGTGTGTGACCTCAATTAAAAGACAGTGGGTTCAAGTCTGGGTTCGAATCCCAGCCTGTGGGTTCAAATCCCATCTGAGCTGTGAGGTTTCAGTTTCATCAGTTCTTTATCAATAGAATAGTGAATGGAAATGGTAGCAACTCATCAGCCTCTGCCTTAGAGGCTACATTCTAAGGGTCAAAAAAATCTTGAACTGTTTTAAAGTAATCATGTTGGTACTAATAACATTGTTTTTATTTCCTGAAACTTTCAAATGTAACTAGTACAACAGAGTAAATAAGGTACTATGCTATTGTCTCTAGGAACCAAGCTTTTCTTTGTAAGAGAAAAAGACACAAATATAAAATCAAAGAAGTAAATACTTGAAATCCTAAATCTGGTTTAAAAATATCAGTATAGATTATGATACACATTACCTTAAAGGAAAATAGTTAGGATTTCCTAATTCTATTCACTGAAAAGACCTAGAAAAAAATGAGCAACCCAACAGAAGCAAACATCTCCTAGAGCCCAGATTGTGGTCTTGAAATATCATTTCCCACTAAAAGAAAATTGAACTTTTTAGACAATGAGCTGATTCCAGGTTTGAGGCAAAATATGTACATGATCCTGGAACATATCTTTCCAAAAGCAAAGATGCTATCACAGACTACAGTCATATCAAAAGGATTCAGGAGCCAACCTGAAGGAAACCGCACTGGGCAAAGACTGAGTAAAAAGAGTAATGTCTGCCACAGATTGAAACATATATATGTTCAAATTTGTAAGTCCATCAATCTTTGGTGGATGCTAGAAAACTAAGCCATTATTCTGAAAATTGGTAAATGTGGAGTAAAAAAAAAAAAGAGAGAGAGAGAGAAGCACTTATTCTGCTTTTCCATATCTCAGGGTAACCCAATACTGATTAGCTAAAGTTCTCCTTTTTAAGAATTTCAATAATGAATGAAGAAGGAATGATTAACATATAATCCTCACACTTTGTAATAAGCTCACTTAAATAGTAAATCTAGGCAATAACTATTAATGGCCGTTAAAGTCATTAGGTAAAAGTGAACAAGGTACTTCATGAAGGAATAATCAGACTAACACCTGAAACCTGATCATTCATAACATCACTAAGAGAGGTCAAAGATTATTTCTTGCATCATGTGCTACAACAAGAAATAACACCACTTATAAATTATTCTTGCCAAAATAAAATAAAACAAACAAAAGCTTGGATTCAACTCAGCTGATACTTAAGGTCCAGTTTACACAAAATGCAGATGAAATAAGACTGTGTTTCAACTGGTGGAGTAGGGGGATGAATATATGAGTGTATTCATAACTGAATATAAGTAAACAACAAAAAAAAACTTTTTAAAAGTTACCAAAAATTTTAAAAAGAACCTGTCTCATTAACAGTGTTTGAAAATACCTGTTTCCCCATACTCTAAGACTACAAATAATTTTTAAAATTTTGTTAGATTTTTAAAATGATTATCATTTTATTTTGCATTTCTCTGATTACAAGTGAAGTTGAGCTTCTTTCCTATGATTATTAGGAATTTATATTTATTTTTCTATGAATTGTTCATTCTTTGCACACTTTTTTTCATAAAGAGTATATAATCTTTCATATTTATTTATAGGACCTGTTTACAATCAATATCAAAGATATTTATATTGTGCAACATTAAATCATTCTCTCTCATCCACTAGCACCCATACCCTTTAAAAATAAAAGATACACCCTCTTTTATCTTTAGTAGAAGATGGTATTTAAGGTGAGAGTTTCAGCCATTTTGACCAGCCAGAATAACCTAGAAGGGTAGAGGGCAATTTCTTCCTACCAAACAGCTGGGATGAGAATGGGATGCAACTTTAGTGGCTGGACACTACTTGCCCCAAAGCTGTCGCAGTAAGAGATGCTGGGACACCGGACGGAAGCCAGAATAAGGTGAGAATTCCTACCACATCATTCAGTCTCCTGGATCTCTGCCTGCAGGGTGTGTTGGAAACAAGAGTACAGTGTGGTTGAGAGGTCCTGGTGCTCCGGCCACGTGTCAGGCCTGAGCCTCCAAGGTGGCAGGTCAAGACCAGGACATTGGACCACCAGCGACCTCCTGGCCTCACGTAATGTCAGTTGGTGAGAGCTCACCTAGAGATCTCTGTCTCAATACTAAGACCCAGCTCCACCCAATGGACAGCAAGCCCCAGTTCTTGATGCCCCATGCCAAACTAGCAAGACAGGAACACAACCCCACCCATTAGCAGAGAGGCTGCCTAAAACTGTAAGAAG